TCCAGCATTCTGTATTGCTAAATTATGGAAGTGTGAGTCTTTTTCCTTCCTAGGATCTTTTCCCTGAAAATTTAAAGGAATACTTACACTTGTTTTGGGATCTCATATGAAACAAACCAGTTATGGACAATTGTTTTGCTCTGTAGATCTTATCAGACTGTGTACTTGTGTGGCTTAGGGTTTGGTTTTTCTTTAATGAAGTGTTTAGGTTTTTGTTTTTGTTTTGTTTTGACAAGCCTACAGGAAAAGGATAGAACTTGATTGTCAATCCAACTTTCTTTTTTTTCTTTATTTTACATACCAACAACAGTTTTCCCTCCCTCCTCTCATCCCATTCCCTCCCCTCACCTCCCTTCTATCCCTCATCCACTCCTCCTCAGTCTCCATTCATATGGGGTATGGTCTCTCTTGGGAAACAAGAAAGCATGGTAAAAAAAAAAATGATATATCAAGGTGAGGCAGGACCAAACTCCTCCCCCGTGCATCACTGGTGAACAAGGTATCCCACCATAGGAGATAGGTTTCAAAGAGCCAGCTCATGCATCAGGGGAGGTCCTGGTCCCACTGCTAGGAGTCCCCCAAAAGACTATGTTACACAACTGTCACCCAGATCCATAGGGTCTAGGTCGGTCCCAAGGGAGCTCCCTAGCTGTTGGCCCAGAGTCAGTGAGCTCCCACAAGCTTAAATCAGCTGTCTCTGTGGGTTTTCCCATCATGATCTTGACCCCCACCTTGCTCATATGATCCCTCCTTCTTCTCTTCAACTAGACTCCGAAACTCAGCCCAGTACTTGGCTGTGGATCTATGTATCTGTTTCCATCAGATACTGGATGAAGGTTCTATGATGACAATTAGGGTAATCACCAATCTGATTGCAGGGAAAGGCCAGTTCAGGCACCTTCTCCACTATTGCTTGGAGTCTTCCTTGGGGTCATCCTTGTGGGTTCCTGGGAGTTTTCCTGGCACCATATTTCTCCCTAACCCCATAATAGCTCCTTCTATCAAGATATCTCTTTCATTACTCTCCACTTTCATCTTATCGTCAACCCCAACATCCAGATCCCTCATGTCCCCATCCCCCATCTCCTATCCTCTCCCTTCCCCTCTCACCCTCAGTTTACCCTGGAAATCTCATCTATTTCCTCTTCCCAGGTAGGTCCATACATCCCTCTTAGGGTCCCCTTGTTACCTAGATTCTCTGAGGCTGTGGATTGTAGCCTGGTTATCCTTTGCTTTGCATCTAATATCCACTTATTGAGTGAGCACATACCATGCTTGTCTTTCTGTGTCTGGGTTACCACACTCTGGACAATCTTTTTTCTAGTTCCATCCATTTGCCTGCAAATTTCATTATATCAATTGATTTCTTTTTCACTAAGAACTACTCCATCATGTAGATATACAGCATTTTCTTTATCCAATTTTTGATTGAGAGCCATCTAGGTTTTCTTCCAGGTTCTTGCTATTACAATAGCCAGTAATGTCATACAATAATGTTATGAACATTGTTGAGCAAGCATCGTTGTGGTATGGTTGAGCATCCTTTGGGTATGTGCCCAAGAGTGGTATTGCTGGGTCTTGAGGTAGATTGATTCCAAATTTTCTGAGATACCACCATACTGATTTTCAAGGTGGCTATACACGTTTGCACCCCCACCAGCTGTGGAGGAGTGTTCTCTTACTCCACATCCTCTCCAATATAGGTAGTCATTAGCAGTTTTGATCGGCCATTGTGACAGGTGTAAGATGGAATCTCAGAGTCATTTCGATTTGCATCTTCCTAATGGCTAAGAATGTTGAACATTTCTTTAAGTGTATTTCAGCCATTCAAAATTCTTCTGTTGAGAATTCTCTATTTAAATCTGAACCCCATTTTTAATTGGATTATATTGTATTTTGCTGTCTAGTTTCTTGAGTTCTTTATATATTTTGGATATAAGTCCTCTGTTAGATGCAGGGTTGGTGAAGACCTTTTCCCATTCTGTACGCTGCTGTTTTGACATATTGACTGTGTCCTTTGCGTTAAGAAGCTTTTCAGTTTCAGAAGGTCCGTTTATTGTCAATCTCACTGCCTGTGCTACTGTTGTTATATTCCGGAAGTGTTCTCCTGTGCTAATATGTTCAAGACTACTTCACACTTTCTCTTCTGTCAGCTTCACTGTAACCAGATGCATGTTGAAGTCTTTTATTCACTTGGACTTGTATTGTGTGCAAGATCTATTTGCATTCTTCTATATGACACCATCCAGTTATGCCAGCACCATTTGCTGAAGATGCTTCCTTTTTTCCACTGTATATTTTTTTCTTCCTTCTAAAAAATCAGATATTCATAGGTGTGTGGATTTATGTCAAGGTCTTTGATTCAATTCCATTGATCCAAGTGTCTGTCTTTATGCCAGCACCAAACTGGTTTTATTATTACAGCTCTATAGTAGAGTTTGAAGTCAGGAATGATGATACCTCCAAAAGGGCCTTTACTGTACAGGACTGTTTTGCTATCACAGGCTTTTTGTGTTTTCATATGAAGTTGAGTGTTATTCTTTTGAGATCTGTGAAGTATCCTGTTGTGGTTTTGATGGGTTATTTCGTTGAATCTGTGGCTTTCTTTTGGTAAGTTTGTTATTTTTTCCTATATTAATTCTATCAATTCATGAGCTAGAGATGTTACATTTTCTGATCTCATCCCCAATTTCTTTCTTTAAAGACTTAAAATTCTTGTCATACAGGTCTTTCACTTGTTTAGTTAGACTTACACTAAGATATTTTTTTTTACCACTATACAAACGAGGATACACTAAGATATTTTATGTTATTTGTAGCTATTGTAAAGGATATTGTTTCTCTGATTTCTTTCTTGGCCCATTTATCATTTGTATATGGGAAGGCTATTGATTTTTTTGTTGTTAATCTTGTATCTAGCCGCGTTACTGAAGATGTGTATCAGCTATCAGAGTTCAGTGGTAGAATATTTGGGTTCACTTATGTATACTGTCATGTCATATGCAAATATCTAACGTTTGACTTCTTCCTTTCCAATTTGCATCCTCTTGATCTCCATTTGTTGCCTACTGTTCTTGCTAGAACCTCAAGTACTATATTGAATAGATATAGAGAGAGTGGACAACCTTGTCTTGTCCCTGATTTTAGTGGAATCGCTTTAAGTTTCTCTTTGTTTAATTTGATGTTGGTTGCTGCATGTTGCCATTATTATGTTTAGGTATGTTCATTGTATCCCTGCTCTTTCCAGAACCTCATCATGAAGGGATGCTGAATTTTGTCAAAGGCTTTTTCAGCATCTAATGAGAAGATCATATGCTTTTTTTTCTTTTAGTTTGTTTATATGATGGATTACATTGACAAATTTTCATATGTTGAACCATCCCTGCATCTCTGGGATGAAGCCTACTTGATCATGGTGGTTGATTTTTGTTGATGTGTTCTTGGATTCTGTTTTCCAGTATTTTATTGCATATTTTTGTGTCAATGTTCATGAGGGAGCTTGGTCTGTAATTTTCTTTCTTTGTTGCATCTTTTTTTAGTTTGGATATCAGAGTAACTGTGGCCTCATAAAAAGAATTTGGCAATATGCCTTCTGTTTATATTGTGCAGAGCAATTTGAGGATTATTGGTATTATATCTTCTTTGAAATGAATTCTTCACTGAAACCATCTGTCCTGACATTTCTTTGGCTGGGATACTTTTAATGACTGTTTCTAATTCCTTAGGGGTTGTAGGTCTATTTAAATTGTTTGGTCTTGATTTAATTTTGGTATGTGGCACCTTTCAAGAAAGTTGTCCATTTCTTTTACATTTTCCAATTTTATGGAGTATAGGATTTTGAAGTATGAACTAATGATTCTCTGTATCTCCTTGGAGTCTGTTGATATGTACCCATTTTCATGTCTGATTTCTTAATTTGGATATTCTCTCTCTGCCTTTTGTCTATCTTATTGATTTTTCTCAAAGAACCAACCCTTTCTTTCATTGGTTCTTTGTATTGTTCTCTTTGTTTCAATTTTATTGATTTAGTCCCGAGTTTGATTATTTTCTGCCATATAATCCTCCAGGGTGAGTTTGCTCCTTTTTGTTCTAGAGCTGTCAGGTGTGATGTTAAGTTGCTTGTGCAAAATCTCTCCAAATTCTCTAGTTAGACATCTAGTGCTATGAACTTTCCTCTTAACATGGCTTTCATAGTGTCCCATAAGTTTCGTATGTTGTACATTCATTTTTCACTGAATTCTAGGAAATCTTTAATTTCTTTCTATTTCTTCCTTGACCTGGAGGTGGTTCAGCTGAGAGTTTTTCAGTTTCCATGAGTTTGTATGTTTTCTGTCATTTGTGTTGTTGGCCTCTACCTTTAGACCATGTTCGTCTGATATTATTCTAATTTGTTTGTATCTGTTGAGATTTGCTTTATGAGTATGCGGCCAATTTTAGAGAAGCTTCCAGGAAGTGCCGAGAAGAAGGTATATTCTTTTGTGTTTGGGTGAAATGTTCTGTAGATGTCTATTAAGTCCATTTGATCATAACATTTGTTAATTTCATTATTTCCCTGTTAAGTTTCTGTCTGACAGACCTGTTCATTGGTGAGAGTGGGGTGTTAAAGTCTCCCAGTGTTAACGTGTGGGGTTTGATGTATGATTTAAGTTTAGTAATGTTTATTTTACAAATGTGGGTGTCCTTGTATTTGGGGCATAGATGTTCAGAATTGAGACTGTGCCTTGATGGATTTTTCCTTTTACGAATATGAAATGTCCTTCTCCATCTCTTCTGAAAAATTTTAGTTTGAAATTTATTTTGTTAGATATTAGGATAACTATACTGGTTTTCTTCTTAAGTCCATTTGATAGAAAATCTTTTCCCAAGACTTTTTATCTGAGGTAATGTCTGCCTTTGAAGTTGAGATGTGTTTCTTTTATGCAGCAGAAGGATGGATTCTGGTTGTTTTTTTTTTTTTTTCACTTCTCTTTAAAGTTTATTCCAAACAACAGTCTTCAAGCTCACTGTGGTGGCTGACCACGTCCACGACCAAAGCCTCCTCTAAACTGGAACTCGGTGGCTGAGCCAGCCCCGGCCTCAGCTTTCTTGCCAGCACCAGGGGGCACAGGACTCCTTCTGTAGGTGTCTCTATCTGCCTCCCCTCTTGTGAATCTTGCTGGGCGCTCACCATCTGTCCCTTTGGGCCGAGGCCTGCCAGTTTCGGGACTGCTGCGGCACAGGGTGGCAGGCACGATCTCCGGAGGTAGGTGGAGATAATCGCGGAGATACTGGATGCCCTTATTCTTTTTTTTTGTGATTATAATTTTTTTTTATTAAGAAGAAAAAAAACATAAACAAAAAACAAGTTTCCACCTCCTCCCAGCCTCCCATTTCCCTCCCCCTCCTCCCACCCTTCTCCCCCTCCTCCCACCCTTCTCCCCTCCCCCCACTCCTCTCCCCCTCCCTCTCCAGTCCACAGAGCAGTCCGGGTTCCCTGCCCTGTGGTAAGTCCTAGGTCCTCCCCCCTCCGTCCATATCTAGGAAGGTGAACATCCAAACTGGCTAGGCTTCCACAAAGCCAGCACATTAAGTAGGATCAAAACCCCGTGCCATTGTCCTTGGCATCTCATCAGCCCTCATTGTTCGCCATGTTCAGACAGTCCGGTTTTATCCCATGCTTTTTCGGTCAAAGTCAAGCTGGCCTTGGTGAGCTCCCAGTAGATCAGCTCCACTGTCTCAGTGGGTGGGTGCACGCCTCGTGGTCCCGACTTCTTTGCTCATGTTCTCCCTCCTTCTGCTCCTCATTGGGACCTTGGGAGTTCAGTCCAGTGCTCATGTGTGGGTCTCTGTCTCTATCTCTATCCATCACCAGATGAAGGTTCTATGATGATATGCAAGATATTCGTCAGTATTGCTCTAGGATAGGGTCATTTCAGGTTCCCAATCCACAGCTGCTCAAGGAACTAACTGGGAACCTAATGTTGGGCACTTGGGAGCCCCTCTAGGGTCAAATCTCTTGCTCACCCTAAAGTGGTTCCCTTAACTAAGAATTGTGGTTCCGTGCTCCCCTATCCACCTTTCCTTTATCCCAATTCTCCTGATTCCCCAAGTCCCCCCTCCTTCCCTTCTACCTTTTCTCTCCCCATCTCCCCTTACCCCCATCCCCCCCCACCCCCAAGATCCTAATTTTCTCCCCGGCAATTTGGTCTACTTCCCTTAGCCAAGAGGATAACTGTATGTTTTTCCTTGGGTTCACCTTCTTACTTAGCTTCTTTAGGTTCACCTATTGTAGACTCCGTGGCCCTTATTTATGGCTAGAAACCAATTATGAGCGAGTACATCCCATGTTCATCTTTTTGGGTCTGGGACACCTCACTCAGGATAGTGTTTTCTATTTCCATCCATTTGCATGCAAAATTCGAGAAGTCATTGTTTTTTACCGCAGCGTAGTACTCTAGCGTGTATATATTCCATACTTTCTTCATCCATTCTTCCATTGAAGGGCATCTAGGTTGTTTCCAGGTTCTGGCTATTACAAAAAATACTGCTATGAACATAGTTGAACAAATGCTTTTGTCATACGATAGAGCATCTCTTGGGTATATTCCCAGGAGTGGTATTGCTGGGTCCAGGGGTAAGATGATCCCGAATTTCCTGAGAAACCGAAACACTGACTTCCACAGTGGTTGCACAAGATTGCATTCCCACCAGCAATGGATGAGGGTACCCGTTCCTCCACAGCCTCTCCAGCAAAGGTTATCCTTGGTGTTTTTGACTTTAGCCATTCTGACAGGTGTAAGATGATATCTCAAAGTTGTTTTGATTTGCATTTCCCTGATTGCTAAGGAAGTTGAGCACGACTTTAAGTGTCTTTTGGCCATTTGAACTTCCTCTGCTGAGAATTCTCTGTTCAGTTCAGTGCCCCATTTTTTAATTGGGTTAATTAGCATTTTAAAGTCTAGTTTCTTGAGTTCTTTATATATTTTGGAGATCAGACCTTTGTCTGTTGTGGGGTTGGTGAAGATCTTCTCCCAGTCAGTAGGTTGCCTTTGTGTCTTAGTGACTATGTCCTTTGCTTTACAGAAGCTTCTCAGTTTAAGTAGGTCCCATTTATTCAATGTTGCCCTTAATGTCTGTGCTTCTGGGGTTATACATAGGAAGCGATCTCCTGTGCCCATCTCCTGTAGGGTACTTCCCACTTTCTTTTCTATCAGGTTCAGTGTGTTCTGACTGATAGTGAGGTCTTTAATCCATTTGGACTTGAGTTTTGTGCACGGTGATAGATAAGGGTCTATTTTCATTCTTCTACAGGATGACATCCAGTTGTGCCAGCACCATTTGTTGAAGATGCTTTCTTTCTTCCATTGTATACTTTTAGCTCCTTTATCAAAAATGAGGTGTTCATAGGTTTGTGGGATAAAATCCGGGTCTTCTATACTATTCCATTGGTTGACTTCTCTGTTTTTATGCCAGTACCACACTGTTTTCATTACTGTAGCTCTGTAATAGAGTTTGAAGTCAGGGATGGTAATGCCTCCAGAAGATCCTTTATTGTATAGGATTGTTTTGGCTATCCTGGGTTTTTTGTTTTTCCATATAAAGTTGATTATTGTCCTCTCCAGATCTGTGAAGAATTTTGATGGGATCTTGATGGGGATTGCATTGAATCTATAAATTGCCTTTGGTAGAATTGCCATTTTTACTATGTTGATCCTCCCAATCCAAGAGCAAGGGAGGTCCATCCATTTTTTGGTATCCTCTTCAATTTCTTTCTTCAATGCCTTAAAGTTCTTGTCAAATAGATCTTTCACTTCCTTGGTTAGATGTACCACAAGATATTTTATGCTGTTTTTGGCTATTGTGAATGGTGAAGCTTCTCTGATTGCCCTCTCTGCTTCCATATCCTTTGTGTATAAGAGGACGACTGATTTTTTGGAGTTGATCTTGTATCCTGCCACATTACTAAAGCTGTTTATCAGCTGTAAAAGTTCTTTGGTGGAGTTTTTGGGGTCGTTTATGTACACTATCATATCATCTGCAAATAACGAAAGTTTAACTTCTTCCTTTCCAATTCGAATCCCCTTGATTCCATTATGTTGTCTTATTGCTATTGCTAGAACTTCAAGCACTATATTGAAGAGGTATGGCGAGAGTGGACAGCCTTGTCGTGTTCCTGAGTTAAGTGGGATGGCTTTGAGTTTCTCTCCGTTTAATTTGATGTTAGCTGTCGGCTTGCTGTATATAGCTTTTATTATATTTAGGTATGACCCTTGTATCCCTAATCTCTCCAAGACTTTTAACATAAATGGATGTTGAATTTTGTCAAATGCTTTTTCAGCATCTAATGAAATGATCATATGGTTTTTTTCTTTCAGTTTATTTATATGCTGGATTACATTGATAGATTTTCGTATGTTGAACCAGCCCTGCATCTCAGGGATGAAGTCTACTTGACCATAATGGATAATTTTTCGGATGTGTTCTTGGATTCGATTTGCCAGTATTTTGTTGAGGATTTTTGCGTCGATATTCATGAATGAGATTGGCCTGTAGTTCTCTTTCCTGGTTGAGTCTTTGAGTGGTTTTGGTATCAGAGTAATTGTGGCTTCATAAAAGGAGTTTGGTAATGACCCTTCTGTTTCTATCTTGTGGAATACATTAAGGAGTATAGGTATTAGATCTTCTTGGAAGATCTGGTAGAATTCCGCATTGAAACCATCTGGTCCTGGGCTTTTTTTGGTAGGGAGGTTTTTGATAACCTCTTCTAATTCTTCGCGACTAACAGGTCTATTTAGATTGTTCACCAGGTCCTGACTTAACTTTGGTATATGATATTGATCTAAAAAAGTATCCATTTCCTTTACATTTTCCAATTTTGTGGCATATAGGCTTTTGTAGTAAGATCTAATGATTCTCTGAATTTCCTCTGTGTCTGTGGTTATGTCCCCCTTTTCATTTCTGATCTTATTTATTTGCAAATTCTCTCTCTGCCGTTCGATTAGCTTGGATAGTGGTTTGTCAATCTTGTTGATTTTCTCCAGGAACCAGCTTTTTGTTTCATTGATTTTTTGTATTGTTTTTTGTGTTTCTATTTTGTTGATTTCAGCCCTCATTTTGATTATTTCCAGTCTTCTACTCCTCCGAGGTGAGTCTGCTTCTTTTTTTTCTAGAGCTTTCAGGTGGGCTGTTAAGTCTCCAATGTGAGCTTTCTCTGTTTTCTTTAACTGGGCACTTAGTGCTATGAACTTTCCTCTTAGGACTGCTTTCATAGTGTCCATAAGTTTGAGTATGTTGTTTCTTTATTTTCATTGAATTCCAGGAAGACTTTAATTTCTTTCTTTATTTCTTCCTTAATCCAGGTATGGTTCAATAGTTGACTGTTCAGTTTCCATAACTTTGTATGGTTTCTGGGGGTAGCATTATTGTTGAATTCTAACTTTAATCCATGGTGATCTGATAAGACACAGGTGGTTACTAATATTTTTTTGTAACTGTGGAAGTTTGCTTTGTTACCGACTATGTGGTCGATTTTCAAGAAGGTTCCATGAGCTGCAGAGAAGGTATATTCTTTCCTATTTGGATGGAATGTTCTATAGATGTCTGTTAAGTCCATTTGATTCATTACCTCCATTAATTCTCTTATTTGTCTGTTAGGTTTCTGTCTGATTGACCTGTCCATTGGTGAGAGAGGAGTGTTGAAGTCTCCTACTATTAGTGTGTGCGGTTTGATGGCTGCCTTGAATTTTAGCAATGTTTCTTTTATGTACGTGGGTGCTTTTATATTAGGGGCATAGATGTTCAGGATTGAGACTTCATCCTGATGAACTGTTCCTGTTATGAGTATAAAATGCCCCTCTCCATCTCTTCTGATTGATTTAAGTTTAAAGTCAACTTTGTTAGAGATTAGTATGGCCACACCTGCCTGTTTCTTAGGTCCATTTGCTTGATAGGCCTTTTCCCAGCCCTTTACTCTGAGTAGGTGCCTGTCTTTGTGGTTGAGGTGTGTTTCTTGTAAACAGCAGAATGTTGGATCCTGTTTTCTTATCCAATCGCTTAGCCTGTGCCTTTTTATAGGTGAGTTGAGTCCATTGACATTAAGTGATATTAATGACCAGTGGTTGTTAACTCCGGTCATTTTTTTTAGTCGTAGAGTTTGTGTGTTTCCCTTCTTTGTTTTGTGTTGGTGAAGGGTCTCTAGATGTCTGAGTTATTGTGGTCATTGTTGGACTCCTTGGTTAGTGATTTTCCTTCAATTACTTTCTGTAAGGCTGGATTTGTGGCTGCGTATTGTTTAAATTTGTTTTTATCCTGGAAAATTTTATTTTCTCCATTTATAGTGAATGAAAGCTTGGCTGGGTATAGTAATCTGGGCTTGCATCCATGGTCTCTCAGTTTCTGCAGTACATCTATCCAGGACCTTCTGGCTTTCATGGTTTCCATGGAGAAGTCAGGTGTAAGTCTGATAGGTTTACCTTTATAAGTAATTTGGCCTTTTTCCTTTGCAGCTCTTAATATTCTTTCCTTATTCTGTGTGCTTTGTGTTTTGATAATTATATGGCGAGGGGATGTTTTTTTTTGATCCAGCCTATTCGATGTTCTGTATGCTTCTTGCACCTTCATAGGAAAATCTTTCTTTAGGTTGGGAAAGTTTTCTTCTATAATTTTATTAAATATATTTTCTGGACCATTGAGCTGCCCTTCTTCTCCTTCTTCTACTCCTATTATTCTTAGGTTTGGTCTTTTTATTGTGTCCCATATTTCCTGAATGTTTTGTGATGAGAGTTTGTTGGACTTGCTGTTTTCTTTGATCAGTGTGTTTATTTTCTCGATGGTGTCTTCAGAATCCGAGAGTCTTTCTTCTATCTCTTGTATTCTGCTGGTTATGCTTGTTTCTGTAGTCTCTATTCGTTTACCTAGATTTTCCATGTCCAGACGGCCCTCTGTTTGTGTTTTCTTCTTTGCCTCCATTTCAGTTTTCATGTCTTGAACTGTTTCCATTATCTGTTTGATTGTTTTTCCTTGGTTTTCTAGGGTATCATTCACTGACTTATTCAATTCTTCAAACTTTCTGTTATATTTCTCATCCATTTCTATAAGGGCATTTTTTACATGCTGTTTAAGGGTGTCAATCACTTTCATGAAGTCAATCTTTTCTCCTTCCTCTTGATTAGGGGGTTCTTGTCCTCCCGTTGTGAGGTCGCTTGTTTCTGGTAGCTTCATGTTGCTTTTCAGCTTGTTGGGCGAATTCTTGCCTTGACGTCGGCCCATCTCTTCTTCCAAATGCTCCCTATGGATCTTCTTTTACCGGATCAGGTCTCCTTGCCTACCAAACGCTGTCTCTCCCCAATGTTGGCTCTCCCAATGCTGGGTCTCCTGGCGCCGAAAGATCAGGCCTCCGTGCTGGTTGGGCAGCTCGCAGACAAAGCGCCTACCCCGCTTGGTGCAGGCAGGCCACAGAAACAAAGGAACTGCTGCCCGCCCGGGAGCCCCGGGTACTCGGACCCAGCGCCCAGATCTGCCCTTATTCTTAAGGTACCAATAGAATGGTCTCCTGGCAAACTGCTCCTTCACATAGCCTCGAGACTTCAGAGACTGCATGGCCTTCATGACATGAAGGTTGGGCACGTTCTTGTCTGCCAGCTCAGGGTGTTTGGGCATATGGACATCCTTCTTGGCAACCATCACTCCTTCCTTAAAAAGGAGCTCATAGATGGCAATCCGGTTCTTCCGGGATGGAGGCTGGAAAGAAACTGGATTCTGTTTTTATATCCATTCTCTTAGCCTGTGTCTTTATTTTTTTATTTTATTATTATTAATTATTATTATTTGAATTTTTTCGAGACAGGGTTTCTCCGTAGTTTTTGGTTCCTGTCCTGGAACTAGCTCTTGTAGACCAGGCTGGCCTCGAACTCACAGAGATCCGCCTGCCTCTGCCTCCCGAGTGCTGGGATTAAAGGCGTGCGCCACCACCGACTGGCTTAGCCTGTGTCTTTTTATACGTGATTTGAGTCCATTGATATTAAGAGATGTTATTGAACAGTATTTATTAATTCCTGCTATTTTTTGGTTTTGATGGTGATGCTACTGTGTGTGTCTCCCTCTTTGAATTTTGCTGCTGTGATATTATCTATTGTTTGTGTGTTTGTGGATATAAATGAGTTCCTTGGGTTGAATTTTTCTTTCTAGTTCTTTTTATAGTACTAGATTTTTGGACAGGTATTTTAAAATCTAGTTTTGTTATGAAATATCTTGTTTTCTCTTTCTATGTCTATTGAAAGTTTTGCTGGGTATAGAATTTTCTGGGCTGGTATCCATGATCCCTTGGTGTCTGTAAAATGTCTATCCAGCATCTTCTGGCTTTTAGGGTTTCCACTGAGAAGTTGGGTGTAATTCTGATAGGTCTGCCTTTATATGATACTTGGCCTTTTTCCAGAGGAAGTTAGGGTAACTGTCCAGACAGCCAGATGTCTCTGTCATTCTAGAGTTTTGGCAGTTGCTTACAATTTACTTCCCGTTTACTTAGGTAATATTATGTCCTTAATATAATATATAATATTATATCTGGGGTCTTTGATGGATTTGAAGACTAGATGGTTATAATTATAGTTTTCCTTAGTTATGATAAAAGATAAATTAGGTATGGAACTTTTGACTCACAAAGATAAAACAGAAGATAGAATGTTTTTTAATTTTGCCAAATACAAATAGATTAAATATTGTAAATGTAATTCTTGCTTGATGGCTGTTTTGTTATATGTAATTTTCTATTTTAAAGTTATTTTCATTTTAATTAGACAGAAAAGGAAAGATGATGTGGGATGTCTTTCTGTATGTTGTGAATGTCTTATTTCCATTGTTTAATTAAGAAGCTGATTTGGTCAATAGCTAGGCAGAACAGAGTCAGGCAGGAAATCCAAGTAAAGGTAAAGGGAAATAGAAGGTGAAATCTGAGAGACTCCAGCAGTCACCAGGGAAGCAAGATGTGAGGTAGCAAGCCACAAGTTCTGTGATAAAATATAGAATAACAGAAATGAGTTAATTGAAATTGTAAAAGCTAATTAATAATAAGCCTGAGCTAATAGGTCAAACAGTTTGTATTAATATTAAGTCTGAGAGGTTATCTTAAAAATGGCTACAGGATGGGGGGGGGTGTCAAGAAACCTCTGACCCATTTAGCCAATGACCTTTGGGCAGCAAGCCCTAAGGCATGGTCTTGTCTGCATATGTGATTGCTTAAAAGCGGGGGGGGGGGGGGGGGTATACTCTCTTGCTTTCTCAGTTGGATGGTTGGACCCCAGCTACCCTGGTCAGAATGACAGGACATAGCAGCTGGATTGTGGCAGAGTCTAATGTGCATCAGTGAGTGTTTATCCCTGTTTTATACCTAAATAAATTGAGACCCTTTAACAGACTCGCATGGTTTCATGTGATAAGTGGCATCCTTGTGAGCAGACCACTGCCCATTAGTCACGGTGGGCGTGACTCTCCCTGCCACTAGAGTTGGGAGAACATTTGGGGCTAAGCCAATGGCTGACTGAAGCCAGCCCCCAGGAAAGGGAACACGGCCTGTTGCCTGGTTCAAGTGTAGGTGCTTATCTGCTGATAACTCCATCTTTTGAATTACCTGCTCCAAGCCCCTTCTGCCCTGTGCCTTCCATTTGTGGCCAGAGCTGCCTAACTCTAAGCAGCATAACCGTGTCCATACTCAGGCTTTTAAAAACCTCCACCATCAGGCTCGCCCAGACCCGCCAGGCACCACACCAATAGGCATGTACGCTGTGGTGTCCCCCGCGTGCTCTGTGTCCTACATCCCAGTGTACCCCAGACTGATTCCCAACTCGACTCCCTGATATGACCCAGCCCGGGCAACTCTAGAGTCAGCTCACCTGGTCCACCTGTCTGCTCACCAGGCGTACACACACCGCCAGCCCCTGCCAGCTTACCACTTGAGGCCCTGCAGTACACTCCAAGCGAGCGGTTTTCACTTAGCATGCCTCTCAGACACCCACCGTTGAGGAATACTATCTTAAGGTGTGCGACTTTTGTTTACACTGCATTTGATTAACTGTGAAGCTGTGTTACTTTGCCAGTCTAAAACACCTGATGGTCCTAATGAAGAACTGAATGGTCAATGGTGAGGCAGGAGAGAAGAATAGGTGGGGCTGGCAGGCAGAGAGGATAAATAGGAGAACCAAGGAAGAACAAAAGCAAGAAAACAAGGAGAGAAGGACATCAGGGGCCAGTCACCCAGCTACCAAGCAAGCCATGGAGAAAGAAGTAAAGAAAGGTTTATAGAAATGGAGAAAGATAAAAGACCAGAGACAGAAGGTAGTTGGGTTAATTTAAGAAAAGCTGGCAAGAAACAAGCCAAGCTAAGGCCAGGCACTCATAAGTAAAACTAAACCTCTATGTGTGATTTATCTGCGAGCTGGGTAGTGGGCCCCTCAAAAGGCCAAAAAAGTAAAACATAGCACAGCAGCCGACAGTGGCGCTGACTGCGGCCACATGTATCCGGCCCCATTCCGAGCTGCCTGAAGGAGCTCTGGGGCCTGAGCTCAGCTCCCGCTTGCGTGTGGCACGGGGCCCACCTGGTGCTCTCCCCAAGCTCAGCCTGCAGAGTTGGTCCCTGTAGGTTCCATTCTGCTTAGAAATTACAGGGCAAACTCAGGAGCACCAAGCCAGAGTGGTGTTCCAGGACCTGCTTTGGTGCTGCACCTGCGACACCTGCTGGCCAACATTTTTTATTACATCTTGAATTTTTTTTCTTTTTTAACCCAACACTGGATCTTTCTGCAGCTAGGATAATCTTCCAAGGATTTTACCAGAGGAAAATAAATGGATAACTTTAAACTTAAAACTGATAATTAAATAAATAATATGTGAATAAATAAATAAATAAGTGAATGAATATTTTTTTTTCCAATTTGTAAGCCCTTTTCCACACTAATGATAAAGAATATCAGGCAATTAAAACCTGCACATTTCTGCTATGAATGCAATGCTAGGAGCGATATGCAACCCAGCTGGAATGAATACATTTTTAGCTGTAGTTGTTATTAGTCTGACAATTCACATCTTTTCCTTAAAAATGGTTTGATAATAATGCTAAACGTGAGAAACTAACTAAAATTATACAGAATTTCCATAATGGTTATGAGAAATTGGAAGCAATTTACAGGCAGTACAGATAGTCACTAAGGGACACAGCGCAGCCTGGCAGAAGGTGAAAGCTTCAGCGATGTTAACCCAGACGAGGGAAAGAGTTGTGACAGACTAGCAAAAAAACCCACTAGCTTCAGGAAGCGATCTGCAAGCCATAGAGAGAGACACTGTAGAGGTCAAGGCAGACCCGATGAAGAAGGTAAAAGCCTTTGAATTATTTACAAATGAGGAAAACAAGAAACTGACTGATTTTATAAACGCTTTAGATGTTTTACATGGTTTGGGAAGTTCAGACCCTACACAGGTCAACTACTAATAGTTTTTCAAACCTTAGAAGAACTTACTAAAGCTGACAGAAAGTGTGTTCAGACAGAGATGTAAGAAGTTAGAGGAGACAGCCTCACCATGACCTTATAAAATTAGAAAAAAAAGCTGCCTAGAGTTGTCAGCACACCTGCTATGCTTTATCCTGTTACTGTTTACATCAGTAATAATGAAAAGTCAGGAAATGACAACTCTGCTGAAGGATGCAGACAGGAACCTGTTCACAGGACAGATGTAAGAAATATTAAGGAAGCAATAATGTCCTATGGTATGCATTGAACATATGTGAGACAGATGGTGAATATGTGGTCCTCTAGGAATAGGAACACCCCTATTCCAAGTGACTGGAATCAATTAGTCTCAGCAGTATTAGAATACAGTGCTCAGTTAGAATGGAAAAGCTGGTTAAAAGAAGAAACTAATACCCTTGAACAGTAGGGTAAGGTTAGAAGTTATGAGATTTCCCAAGATCAAATTCTTGGCACAGGTCATTATGGTGATGTAAATAGTCAGGCTACATTCAGTGAACACACCCTGTACCTATGCCATACAGCAGCCTTAAATGCATGGGACTAGATTCAAGAATCAGGAGAAAGAATTGAGTCATATACTAAAGTTACACAAGGCCCAAAAGAACCCTTCACTGACTTTTTGCAAAGATTGACTAAAGCTATAAATAGAATGATTTCAGACTCAGAAGTTAGATGAGTACTAATTAAATCTTTGTCTTTTGAAAATTCTAATTTAGGATGCAAAAAGATAATTGGGCCTTTAAAGGTCAGATCACCACCAATAGATGAATGGATCCAAAACACAGGCAATATAGCCTCTTAACTATAGCAATGAGACTTGGCTATGAGAGGCAATTTCCAAAAGCCTGAAGAGGCATCAAAATGTCGTCAAACGTTTTAATGGCAAACCAAGTCATTTAAAAAGCAGTTGTTAGCCCGGCGGTGGTGGCCCACATCTTTAATCCCTGCACTCGGGAGGCAGAGGCAAGTGGTTCTCTGTGAGTTTGAGATCAGCCTGGTCTACAAGAGCTAGTTTCAGGACAGGCTCCAAAGCTACAGAGAAACCCTGTCTCAAGAAACCAAAATAAATAAATAAATATTTTTAAAAAAGAAGAAATTGTTGACAGGGCATTCCTAGAAATAATGTTTCTTCTAGGATGACCCAAATAAAAGGCTCCAACCTTCTGAATTATGCAGAAGATGTGACAAAGGCCAACAATGGACCAAGAGACAAACAAGGCAACCCTTCACCAACAGGAAATGTATTAAGGGGCCTTCCACAGGCCCACATGTTAAATGTGCTCCAGTCATTCCCAGTCACTGTAGAGGAAACTCCTCCCCAGAACAATTTAAAAATCCACTGCCTATTGTAATAAACCATACTGCTCTGGATGATAGAACAGCTTTAGAATATGAATCAAAAATTCCAAAAGAAGCCATAAAATGAATATTTTTGCAGACTTCTATAAATGACCAAAGACCAAAGCTTAGGACACATATAAATTGGATTGTACTTGAAAGTCTTTGGGGCACAGGAGTGGATGTGATTACACCTACACCAGAATCATGGCGTCTGAATTGACCTTTTCAGGAGGTACATTTTCAGTTCTTTGGGACTAAAACCCTATATCAGGTAAAAACAAAGCAAGAGATGGGTTGAATGCATAGGATCAGAAGGACACAAAGGAAAATTGATGTCATATGTGGCTAATATAGCAATGAATCTCTAGGGTTGTGATCTGTTACAACAATAGAATACCCAGATTAACATTTCTCCAATCTTCACTTGAAGAGTGGAAGGAGTGAGATTACGAGCAAGGAGGTCAAGACCATAAGGGGTTTACCCACTGAGACAGTTTACCTGAGCTAATGGGAGCTCACCAGCTCCAACTGGACTGGGACTGAACAAGCATGGGATCAAACTAGTCTCTCTGAATGTGGTTGACAATTGGGGCAGACTGAGGGGCCACTGGCCGTGGCATTGGGATTTGTCTCTACTGCATGTACTGGCTTTTGGGGATCCTATTCTTTTTGAATGTATACCCTGCTCAACCTAGATGTAGTAGGGAGGGCCTTGGACTTTCCACAGGGCAGGGTACCTTGCCCTCTCTTAGGATTGGAGGGGGTAGGGGTAGGGTGTGTGGAGGGAATACTCAGGGAGCGGGAGGAGGGGAAGGAATGAAAATTTGGATTGGTATTTTTTGAGTAATAAAATAAAATAATAATAATAAATGAATAAAGAAACTGACTCGGCCTGTTGATAGGCAGAACTTAGGTGGGCGTGGAAAACTGGATTGAGTGCTGGGAAAAGAAAGACAGAGAAGAGACACTATGGAGCTGCCACCAGAGTCAGACATGCTGGAACTTCGAGGGTGGGCCACAATCTCGTGGTGATATACAGATTAATAGATACAGGTTAAATTAAGATGTAAGAGTTAGCAAATAAGAAGCTAGAACTAATGGGCCAAGCAGGGATTTAATTAACACAGTTTCTGTGTGGTTATTTTGTGGCTAAGCTAGCTGGGCTGCTGGGATGAACAAGTGGGCCCTCTTCCTACAAATTGGTGGCCACGTGGCCAACTAAATCCACATAAAACCTGAGAGGGCTTGGAAAGGAATTCTAGACAAAAAAAAAAATACAAAGTTTTACACAGCTTCTTGCTGATTGCTGGTGGTATGCAGCAGCTCCTTGAAGAGAGGTTTTCCTGATTCATCCGTAGCAGGAGAAGGACTCACGTGGTTTTAAAACACAGCTTTCTGGGCCATGATGCCAGCACAATCTCTTTCTCTAGAGGTCTGGCTTGAGCAGACTGTTCCAGCTTGCTTAATGGTGGCATGGACTGGCTGTGTGCCTACAGTTAGGGCACTGTGCATGTCTCTCAGAGGTGGTGAGCAGCTCTGCCATGCTCAACTGTGATGAGCGCCTGTGCTGAGTGAGCAGGCAGTGTCGTATAAACCATAATAATAGAACAACTTAAGTTTTAGACTGGGACAGCAAGCAGAAAGTACCGAATATACCATATTAACGGCACACCTTGGAAAATAAAGAATTACAGATATGCAATAGAGACAAATCCAGATGGAAAAGAACTCTAAATGGGTCACAATGTTGGATAAATGTACACCGGCTTAGAAGAGAGAAGAAAAAGAGTATAGAGAGTCATAAAATAAAGTTAACTCTTTTTTTTTAAAAAAAGTAAAGTTTTTAAAGCGACAGAGTACAGACAGTCATAGATGAAAAGAAGCAAAGAAAAATAAGCCACATAAAGATGAAAATTTTTCTCTCATGATTTTTGTTTCTACAATTCCCTCAGGTTGTGTTTTCTCTATTGTCTCTATTTCAGTTTTCAAATCTTGAATAGTTTCTTTGTCTGTTTGATTGGTTTTTCCTAGTTTTCTTTAAGGGATTTGTTGATGTCTTCCAATTTTTTATTTGTCTTTTCCTCCATTTCTTTGAGGAAATTTCTCATTTTCTCTTTAAGAGTCTCAAACATTCTCCTGAAGTTATTTTTGAGGTCATTTTCTTCTGCTTCATCTATATTTAGTTGCTCAATTCTTGCTGTTGTAGGGTCTCTAGATTTTACTGGTGTCATGTTGCTCTTTGTGCTGTTGCATGTGTTCTTACCTTGTCTACTCATCTTTTCTTTTAATTGGTGTAGTTGGGGATGTCTGTGACTCTGGTGATTATTGAAGCCTTATACTTTAAGCTGTATAGGTATTAAAAATTATAGGTCAATAATCATCCACATTTGTCATACTTATAGTTAGACCAATCAGGTTATTTAGATACATAGAGATTGTATTCTTTATAGGTAATCTTCATCCACTTCAAAGAACTGTAGCATATGGCATTTAAATAATTTAGGATTCGGTTTATGTAAAACACAATTGCTCCTGGCAGCACAAATCTATTCCCACAAGAATGTTGGGCACCAAAGACACTCCTCTTGGAGCTTGTTTTCTTCTTGGAAAAACTGGCCTTTGGACAAAAGAACTGCCCTGCCTTGACCACTGTCAAAACGTA